CGAAGTAAAGGAGAAATCTGGTTCAAATAGTTAGTATACGACGTGTGTTGTTGTGTGAGGAAAAAATTAGCTCCCGTTGGGAGGAAATTTTTCCTCCGGTGAAATTGGGTGAGAGAAAGAACAAGTTTAGTCTCATCAGCTGCTGTGGGAAGAAAAACAGAAGAAATACCAAGTTTTAGTTTTTTTCTCTCGACGAGACCTTCCGCAATGGCACATGAACCTCACTTCTGCTGTTGACTGGCTTCCCCAGAACAAAGTGGAAGGTCGTTCGTTTATTTCCGCCCGAATTAGCTAACGTATGCATAGCAACGCTCGGTCGTTTACGCTCGCGATGATGGTAGCGGAGCACATACAGTCTAGCCCTGCATTCATACCACATGCCTACAGAGTACATACGATAGGGTGAGACGCGCATAAACCTAACGAAGAGAAGCGGTTTGCCCGCGATGCTTCCTACTCCAATCGGCATCGAATACAGAATTCTCGCTGTCTTTCTTCAACAGCAGTACCAAATACACGTGTCCAACCGTGAAGGACAGCCTTGTAAGTATGCGTGAGGGCTCGCGCCTACCTCGACCCTCCCCGTACATAGCGCCTGTTCCATCGGGCCAACATCTCGTTTCGCAGCTGAAAATGTGCGTGCGTGCCAACCTGTTTTGGCTTTGCTTGTAAGTACATCTCTGCTCAGAACGTACCGGAGGGAAAAATATTTCTCGACCGTGACAAATTGTATTTCACGCGGAAACACTAATGGCACATGGCACGAAAAATCCGACGCTGTTCGGATATTCTAGGTGTTTTCCTCGGCTATATGCATACACATGGCCGTCTACCCGACACTAAAGTGATGCTGACTATGCCGTTCGCTCCTTAGGTTTACCCATCACGGACAAGCTTTGTTCCGTAAGCTAACCGTTTCTGAAAGCGGTCGTGTCAGCAGTTAGTTCAATTGCTGTTGGTTATCCCCAACTAGCTGTTTGTGCTCATGCCCCTTCTCAAGGCTACCCCACGGCTATTTTTAAGGGCGTACTTTTTGGTTCGATGGCGGGAAACAGACGAAAGGAGATACCCACCCCCCACGGCCCGAAGACGTTGACGTCTATGCGGCCTGGCACAAGGTGGATTCGTGAACTGCAGGGATAAAAAGGGAGGGGGACGAAAACGGACGAGGAAGACAAATGCATGAGAACAAGTGGTGAAACACTAGTTAGCAGTTAGCACCAAGTTGTATCCATCCGGCAGGAGTGGTATCGTTATCGTTTCAACCCGAAAGGCAGATCCTAGCTTCGGCACCGCATCGGGGAGAAGCGTTCTTGTTTTTCCCTAACGAAAACTACAACTTTTCTCTCTGTGGCTCCCAGTAAGACCCAAGAGAGTACGCAAGAGGTTCTGTAATCTGGATACCATCCCTACGCTCGTCAGTCTCTGCACCCCCAATGCGGGAAAATAACTCGCGAAAGCCTCGCCTTTGCATGGTCTTGAGGTAGTAAGGTTCGGGTATTGGTAACATGACAACATGCGCTTTACGAAAAGAGGCGAGCGAAGAGACAGCCTCGCCGCCGAGGCAATGCAAATGCCAGCCAAGGTTGGGGGCGAACATGTGACTTGTGCCGCTAGAGTGCAGCAGCACCTACCTTCATCTCACGGAAAACAACCGACCGACGCGATCAGTGAAGCGAAACTGCTGCTGCAAAAGACAGGGCGAAATTGAACACGTGCAGAGCAGGTTCACCCAGCACGTTTTTACAAACTCTTTTTTAATCAAAACCCGAAAGATTGAATCGCCCCCCTTTGCAAGCCATTGACAACTGCGCCGGTGGCCGATCAATTCTTTTTTGGTGTGCAGGTGCAAGCCTCCGGTGCTGTCCCCGGACACCGCCGCCGCGAACTCGAGGGTGTCCGCCCTGGCGACCGACATGCTAGAGAGGGGCTGGGTCACGCGAGAGGAGTACCAGCAGCTCCTGCATGGCGATCGGTGAGAGGAGGGAGAGAGGGAACCGCACACCCCACCTTCTCTCTGTTGTTGTTGTTGGTGGTGGTGGTGGTGTTGGTGGTGGTGGTGGCGATCGGCCCCAGGTGAGGACTATTGTTGCAGCGACAGCAGTAACGTTCGGGTAGTTAGTTGACACGAAAGTCTTGACTGCCGTGCACAGCCTCTTGTGACTGACGTTGAGTGTATCATCAACTACTGCTGTCCTTGGGTGGATGGCTCCTCGCGTTGGTGTACGTACAACTAATTTGGTATTACGTCGCTCCAAACGCTTCCTGCTGCCACTGCTGCTGCTGTTGCTGCTACCGGCACTACTACGGTACTAGGCTGTACTCTCTCCACGAGTCCGAGATGGAGGAGCAGGAACGAGAGCGGCGGCGGCGACTGCGAAATAAGATAGGGCTCCGTCGGAAATTGTGGAGGCAGACGCAGATCGGCGTCGTAAGGCGCGCGCGCGCGCGGAAGAAGGCCGAAAAGGTATTGTATGTACTCCTAAATATCTACGGGCGTCTTGCTGCTTCGGTTCGCGTGGTGGTATGTTTTTTTTTTTTGAGTCGTGGACAATTTCATTTCTGTCCGGCTGTTTATGTCACCGCCTGGTGTTGTTGCCGTTGGTCTTGTGTAGCGGCAACAGGCAATCCCGGGGCGTATGACAGACCGGCAAGGAGGGGCTTCGAGAAATCCTCGCTGTCGTGCTGCCAACAACGTTCGTCACGTAGGTACGGGTCAAATCAACCCAGCTGCGCCCCCCGCTCACCCCATACCCCTCCGAATGTGCAATGCGCGCAGCGCAACAAGGCGGGCGGGGCAGCGGCGGCGGCGGCGGATGACCTCAGCAAGTCAGGCAAGGTGTCGACAGCGACTTCGGCGGCGGCGGCGGCGGCGGCGGCGGCGGCCGTGGACAAGAGGAAGAAGAAGAAGCAGCCGCCGGCGGAGCGGCCCCCCGACGTCTGCCGAGACCCGATAACGCTCGACGACCTCGGCTCGTGGACGTGGGACTTCCGCGCCAGCGAGGCCGCCACACCGCCCGTTTCGTGCGGGGCAACTAAGTCGACGAAGCACGGAGGCGGCGGCGGTTGGAAAGGGAAGCGTTTCGGGGTGGGGGGCAAGGGGGGCCGTGGGTGTGGCAGCGGCGGGAGCGGGGGCGGCGGCGGGAGCGGGAGCGGGAGCGGCGTCAGCGGAAGCGGAAGCGGAAGCGGGAGCACCAGCAGCGCGGTGGTGACGTATAACGTGGAGTCCCTGGTGCTGTACTTGCTGGAGTCGGGAGACTTTCAGGTACGACGATTTGATGTGTCCTCTGTTGTCGTTTGTTGCAGGTGGTGCTCTCGCCGCTGATGCGTCAACGAGTAGGTGACCCCGTGGTTTGCTACGCATGGGCGTGTGCTCGTTTTGGCTAATAGTGTGTTCCGGAGGCGCCTGATATTTTTGTGCGCTTGCTGCTGCTGCTTTTGTGGACATGAGCACGGCAGTTAGGTTGTGTGAGGCAACAATCGGACCAGCCGCTTGGTCTATCCGCGCCCCTGCTGCTACTGGGTGAAGTACGATTGGATAGACATGTCATCTCCTGACGCGTAGAAAGCATCGGAGCGCCCGTACAGCTAGCTCTAAGCGCCAGCAGCGAGTGTTGGCCGTCGATCGAGCTAGCTTCTGCTGCTGCTGCTCGTTTGGTGTCGAACATACGCGCACGCGTCGAGACTCCCTGGTGCACGCATGCGGGTTCAGCTTCGCGGTAGATTAAGGAGATGCACGTCTCTGCCGTTCGGCGTAAATTATTTGTCTTTTGGTAGTGCACAACGTTGCGCACATGATGAAGAGGTGTGTTGTCGAGATCATCGAGAACGGGCGTGTTTCTATAGCACAGCGGTGGCAGCTCTTTCTGTTTTTGTCCGTGCACACCCGCGAGAGAGAACTTGTCGACGCGGCGGTGAGCACAGATGCTCTGGCGACGGGAATGGCTCATTGTTTTGGGTTCGACCCTCCTCCCCACCCTCCCCGATGCCACCGTCTTGTGCAGCCGTTCTCCCAAGCGCGATTTCGCGTTCGGTCAAGTGCGTGACAACCGAATGATACCTACAGCCATCACCACCTTTCCCCGCTAATAGGCGGCGGGTGACATTCATACCTCTGTGGCCCCGTGAATGAAATTACGCCCCCCGCCCCCCCCCCCCGTGCGCGCGCTCCAGGAACCCACCACACGGCGACCGTTTTCCCTGGTCCAACTGGCGGACCTTGACGCTTTGGCGGCGAAGGCGGGCGCGAAGGTCAAGGGATCGCTAGTACAGTCTTACCACGAGGGGCAGGAAAAGTACGTCGAGCGCCGAGAGCGGAGGTACGGAACAGGGGGAGTGTGTACTCATAGCATAGCCGTGCATGCCGTAGTATTTAGACCATTGACTTCGCATCCCTACGAACCCGGGACGGAGCACGCCGGGTTCTCACCGGACTAGGCTCTTCCACATCGCCAGCTTTTTTGCCGTGTTGGCCGGCGTGGCCGTTTGGTTTGGCATCGGTTGCCTGTTCGGTGTACATGGACCCGGCCTCTCTCCCTTGTGGTGGTGGTGGTGGTGGTGGTTGCTTTTTTCTTTGAGTGGAGGGTAAGATGGCATGATGGTTGCTTGCTGCAACGGGCATGTTGTCTTTCTTACCGAAACAAGGTAAAGATGTTTTGCGCCCCTTCCTACGGCGGTGCATGTACGCCCGTCCCTCAAGCCTGAGTGTAGCGGTCGTCTTGCATCGGGTAGGAAGGGAAGGCGTGCGACTACCAGACGAAGAACACGGTGCCGCATGGCTTGTGTTAGGTGAAAACGTGCCCGCTGTTACATGATCGATCGATTTTGGCGTTGTTGTGCCTCTGACGTTGCGCCCTCGTACCGTGTGCGGCGGCGGCGGCGGCGGCGGCGGCTCGATCCGTCCACTTTTATCTATCGAACCGCGTTCGTGTTAAGTCCCTTTCTTGGTGAGATTTTCTCTCTCATTTGTTTGTTTGATTCCTCCGCCGCCGTCCCCAGGGAAATGCTGGTTGGCGCCGACCGCTGCCTTGGCGACATCGTCTCGGAGATGCTGGCCACGATCGAAGACAACGACGAGTCCCACGAGGACGCCCACATCTACCTCTGCACTCTCTTCCCGCAGTTTTCCCACATCTTCTCGGAGATGAAGGAGGTGGGGGTCCCGTAGTTTATTCGGGCGGGTTGTGGGTATGATGTGGTTCGGCGCGGCGCGGCGTGGTGCGGGGTAGTGGCGAACGAAGGCGGTGTCTGTTGCGTCGCTGTTGGTGTTTCTTCGTGATGTACTCGGTCGCTTACATGACCAATTGCTTGCTGGAAGCGCGCACATGCTTGTGTTTGCTTTTTTGGGTGAATTAGTCCCGTTTCCCTACAACAACGACGCGCCGTGCGTTTCCACCCACCACATGCGCAACCCTTTCGCACTCGTCCTGAACCTCCAACAACCCCGACCCGCATTTTTTTTTGTCGTCAGGCGGACGAGGAGTACGCGAGACAGTGCCTGGAGCAGCACATTGCCCTGCTGCGAGGCCCGCCTAACCGGCCGACGGCGAAGTCTCTCTCCTCCGAACAGGGCGACTTGTTGACGGCGTGCGTCGACTTTCTGAGCGAGCAAGGCAGTGCCGGCGGCGGCGGCGACGACGGTGGCGGTGAGGGTGACAGCAATGCCACACCGCCGCTGGGAGACGGTGAAACTGCCCACGGAGGTAGCGGTGGCGGAGATCGCCGCACGGTGGACGAAGCCCTCGCGTCGTTGCTGAGCGAGGTCGCCGCTGCGACGATGGTGGAGGGAGGGAGCTCGACCAGCAGCAGCCGTAGCAGCAGCAGCAGCGACGAGGACGAGGAGGAGGAGGAGGAGGAGGAGGAGGAGGATGCGTGCGACTTATCTCTGACCGGCAGCGTGGAGTGAATCGATGGCCTCGGTCTGACTGCTTCCCTGAACGTCGTCCTTGTTTGTGACGCTTGCCGACCACCTTCGGACACGTCCGTTTCTTTTCATAATGTGTTTGCTTTGGTCGGCTCGCTGGGGGCATTGGCTTCGAAGGTCCGCCGTGGGTCGCAAATCCTTTCTTTGCGCGAGCCCCCCCTGTGTTCGACCTTTCGACCTGGTTTACCGCATCGCCCTGTACACAAAGGGGGCCGGTGCATGACATGGTGTCATTCTTGCCGCGACGATGATGGTTCCCCTTCGTTGTTACGCAGTTCTGCCGCACCGATTGCCGCAGCAGCGATGGAAGCTTGCGAAGCTTGCCGGGAGTTGTACAGGCCAGAAGGGCGTGTTTTTCTGGCGGGAGGTGCAAACTCCCGAGGTAGTCCCCACCTGCTTGCTGTACATGGTTTCACACTTTTGAAATATGGTTTGAGCAGCAGCAACAGCAGCAGTAGCGAAAGCATAAGTGTCCAGGCTAAGCGTTTTTTACATGTTACCTAGCGGGCGCACCAGTCAAACTTTTACCAGCGTAATGTCCGATTCCTCTCTGCTTCTTGTGGTGGGACGACCGTCTATTTGATACGGCATATGTGCCCGTTTTTTGTTTTTGTTTTATGGTATTAGTCATTTTTTGCTCGTGGCTTGTTTCGTTGGATGGCGCCCAGTAGGCCTCCGGCGGCCAGTGCAGCGATCGCTCCCTTAGGCTTCCATCTTCCGCAATGCCGGTGCTTTTGTATCATATCTCGATTTTCGCATCGGACGGATGTAGCCAACACAGCCAGATTTGTTCGCCGCCACTTGGCACGCGATCGTATCCATGGGCAACAGACTCTTGTTGCGGCATGAGTCGGCCGAGCAGTGTGCTTTGTCAACGTGAGTTCTAGATTCAATCATCCTGAGAGCCACAGGAGTACGCCACCACCTTGTACTGCTGTGCGCCGTTACGGTGATCAGCGTGGTTGGAAAGTTTTGACTTGATGTGTGCTGAGGTTGTCGATCTATCTGCGACGGTCCTTTTCATGAGCGCTCATTTGAGAAAAGAGTGTTTTTGTCGGGAGGGGAAGGATTTCTTTTTGGCTATAGTTTTTGTCTTTTTTGGGGGGGGGGGGGGGGGCGCTTGATGTATCGTACTTTTTCTGGGTTCAATTCGACGTATGACGCTTTTTTCGTACGGCTGTGCTGCTGCTGCCATGTCGTCTTGTGGGTGAGGTGTTTCTTGGTCGGTAAAGGCGGCGACCGCTTGACCGTAGGCATTTGCCCATACCATGCCACACAGCCTATCTGCAGAAGTTGATGTTGGACATCTCCATGTGGCAGATTTGGAGGAGAGCTTAATGGAGTCTGCTTGTGGGCTGGGTATGGCATGCATGTATATATGCATACTTCTCTATCGGCCGCGGGAATGGCCGTTTCTTGTAGAAATCCCACCTTCTCCCCCCCCCTCCGCTTTTTCACGTGTTTGGAGGGCGCAGAAGAGATACCAGAGTCAACAGGTGGGCGGGTTGCCGCTTGTTGCTTGTGCTGTTCTGTGTCGCACGTTGTTGCAATCCTTCAGTTCTCATCGTGGCGTGCACGTGTGTCCCTTAAGTCCATATATAGGCATTTTTCTTGGTGAGCTGGATGGCAGAGAATGGGCTTGCTCTTAATACTTCGGACCGTTTTTTTCATGGGGGTTCGAGAGCAGCACACTCGATGTGTTTGGTCGGCAGAAGTTAGTCGCGTATCATACACACGCGAGAGCGTCCGGAGGAAGGGAAATGTGGAGGGAGAGACGAGGCGAAACGATAGTTTCACAAGAGGAGAGGGTGAAGCTACCCGCGTTTTGTGTACATGTCGAAGTAAGTGTTTTTCGGACGTATTGCAAAGGTGACAACGTGCGTGCGTACATGAAGGGGGGAAGTATATTGTAGCGTTCTTTATTTCATAACGGACGGGGAGGGGAGCCCATAAGGCAACAATATGGGTAAACAAACAAACAACCTACAGGAGGTCCTGCTGGTTTTCTCGTTTTTATTCCGAGCGCACGGCTGTCTGTGTGATGGGTTGTGTCTCGTTGTGAACGGGTCGACTGCTGTCACTGTGTACTGTAGATGGGCGAGAGACCAATCGCCATGCCTGGGTAGAAGATGAGAGGAGATTGTGCAGAAGTAAGTGTCTTGAGCTGATTACCACGAACTAAAAGTTTGTAGTCTGTGTTGACGATGAAGTGTTCCAACTGATTCGCGCCCGTGCAGGTATACAGTTGTTTCTGTTTTTGCGTTGTGTACGAGTCCAATCGACCTCAAACGCTGTGAGGTAGGTACTACAGTTGTTTTCTTTCTATAGTCTCTATGATACACCTTAACGGTATTGTGTAGTGGTTGTTGTTTCGAAGTGTGCCGCGTTTGGTGACACAAATGAATGATGGTGTGATGATGATGATGATGGAAATTGCCGAAACGACGAAGGGCGAAAGTCGAGAGGAAAATGTCTGTGGCGCCACGCAAAGAAGAGCCTAGGAAAGATCAGTCCACTTATCCCGCCAGGTGTCCCTAACCCCCCCACACATAGTGTAAATAATTCATCCCTTCAAATGGGGGTATGCATTCACATTATCTCGAACGAGCCGATAGTATTTCTCTGTTCGTGTTCGCTAAAACGAAGCGGATGAGCATTTCTTCTCTCGTGAGTTCGTTTTCGAACGTCATCGAAGTTCCAAGATTTGGCGCGCCACGATTTGGAGGTCGCCATTTGTACACAGACTGATTGATAATTGTACAGCTTTTCTGTGATAGAGATGGATTCATTCGTTGTGTCATATTAAGAAAAATAAAAAAAAGTGACGCGGGTGAAAATATAACGGTCGGATCTACGGAGATCTGTGCGACGGGATCCTACAGACTTCTTCTGCTGCTTGCCCACGGCCCGTGGATTCACGTCGCTCTGTTCCCGCACAAACTTCACGCACGGTACAAGCCCCTAGCGAAGTACGGGCCATCGGTCCAGCTCACTCTCGTGCACAACACCCACCACCAGAGCACTCTGGTGGGCGATGATAAAAGGCGAGCGTATCTTCTTTTTCGGTGTCATCCATCTTTACCGGCTACGATCTGCCGCACGAGATCCCGGCAGCTTCAGCCGCTTGGTACCGCGATCTCTGCTGTTTCCAGGCAAAAAGAGCAGTGAGCATACTCTCGTGCACGTGCGGCATACTGTGGAATCATGTCTTTTCCAGACACGCGGCCAATATCTGCCCAAGGTCTGGAGGTGACGATGAAGGCTGCAGAGGACGAGGCTCGAAGCACTCAACGACACCACCAGCAGGTCGTCGGAGATTGTGCGTCAACGACAACAACCACGGGAGCAACAGCCGTGCACGCAGGTAGCCAAGGCCAGCAGCAGCAGCAGCAGCTGGTGGGGGTAGATGCCAAGACCAACCTCCACGCACAACAGCAGCAAACGCACGGCAAGGGGCCGGGAGCAGCCCGAGACGAGGGAGCAGAAAAAGACGCCGAGGGAAACGGAGACGGCGACGAGGCTTGCGGGGAAGACACCCACCTCGGTGCTCGTGCCCCCGACCTTCGCCCATGGTCCAGAATGGAGGACGAGGCCATCGCGCGTATGGTGGGTGTAAATGTACACATGAGCTTGGTCTTTAGTCGGCCTTCGACTGTTGATCTACCGTCTGTGTTGCCACGGGCCACGTGCCTCGGTCAAGTTCGATTAGACCACCATGTTTGTATCTCGCCATACCTTCCTCGGCTCGTAGGAAGTAATTGATGAGAGTCAAATAATAAATAGTCGGAAAATCTGCCCGCAGGTATCCTCCGCACAGCCCACAAGTCCACAAGCGTAGTGAACGCACTTGTGCACGCACCAGACGCCTGTTTTGCCGCTTGCCGTACGTGTCTAACACCACCACTGGTTGATGCTGTAAGCGCCTTTTCGACATGGACAAACATGTACCGGTTACCACCGCGATTTCCACCCATCACTGCTGCTGTGGCAGGTTGTCGAACGTGGTATCAAGCGATGGAGTGTGATCGCGGGGAACCTCTACGTGGAAGTTGCTGGCACGCTCCGAACCGGGAAACAATGCAAAGCTCGGTAGGTGCTGTGGTGTATCCTAACGAAGAGGAATGATGAGGTTTTGGCGTCATACACCAGAGCTCCGTTCGAAGAGGATGTTCAACAGCACGCAGTGACAATATCGTGCGGGCGTTCACTTTGTTGTCGCTCACGCTGACACTGTATCTTGAATCGGCCACAGACGTTCTCGGGTGTCGTGCACAAACATGAGTGAGCGTAGTTTGTTGTGTCGCCGGCTACCAGTCAACGGCAATAGAATCATCAAGCAAGATACATACTCATACGCCTTTGTCATTCCCCGAAGAGTGACGCAAAGTAAAAGTCCGACAGAATAAACACCTGGTATGTTTCTTATCCCTTGAAGGTGTTTCACATACATACGCTAGCTTCTCCATCGGGGCAATCCTAGCGTGCAAGAATGCCGTTTTGATGTCGACTTGTTTTAGAATGATGATGTGGCCAATCGTGCAACTTCATACCATGATATGAACTTCCTTCCCCCCTCAAAAGACCCCTACAATCGAGCATGACGTGTTTCACTGGGTCAACTAGCTCGATGATCAATTAATGTCGTCGCAGTTTCCATCCAAGTGGAAGTACAACTAAGACGGGGTAGCATTTCGGCAGAAGACACTTCTCGTATACAATAACTGCACCATTCTACTTCAGAAGTTTGTCGCCCATTCACTTGACAACCTCACATTTATGCAGACAGATGTGGATGCCCAAACATTTCTTGAGTTCTAAGATACACAGGGTTCACACATCTCTCTCTCTCTCTCTCTCTCTCTCTCTCTCTTTCCCCACCACCCCATCGTTGCCTTTCTTCGCACGTTGTCACACCATGATGAAACCTTTCAATACAGTTGGCAACACATGCTCGATCCATCCCAAAAGAACGCCCCATGGACGGAGGAAGAGGAAAATATCATCCACGACGCGCACCTCCGGTTGGGAAATCGGTGGTCCGAGATCGCCAAGCTCCTAACCGGCCGCACAGACAGCGCCGTCAAGAACTACTGGTACACCACGGCGCACAAGAACATCGGCCGGCAAAATATGGAGATCCGCGGAGGAGACGGCGACGGTAGAAGCGACCCTAGCCGGAGCGGTGACACGGAGGCCACGGGAAGCTCCAACATAAACCCCATTGGTCCTGGTGGCGAAAGCGTTGCCACGAACGGGGGCGCTTCAGGTTTCTACGACGATCCCAAGCCCGACATCGTTCCGGGGGAAGCCGGGATCGCCGGCGGCTGCTCCGCACCGGTCGGCCATGTCGAGGGCGGCGAGTGCCAACTCCAGCCCGTAGTTGCAGGCCTGGGAGTGTGCGGAGGAATCGGACCACCTCCCGCGATGGCCGTGGCGACCGCTGCCGCCGTCGCCACCCATGGCCAAGGGATGCCGCCAGTGGGGGCCGCGACGGCGGCACCGGGGGTCGAGTCCTCGTCCCCGCCCGCCCTTGTTCCTTCGTTGGCGTCCACGTTGGGGACGACCGCACCCCCCGCGGTGGATGGAAACAATCGTTGGCAGGTAGGTGTTTGTCAAGGGTGGGAGCTTTCGATTCGAGCGGGGGTTTTGGTCTCTCGAACCAGTCGTCGTTTGCCGTCATGCTGCGCCGTCGCAGTGTTAGTTCTTTCTACGGAGAGTGTGACTGGCTGGTGCAAAAGTGAATGGCGTGTGATGGTGTTTGGTGAGGCACACTCTACATATGCTCCATATAAACTTTGGGCGGGAGGCGCTCTGTAGACCATAACCCGCGAACGGACCTCGAGAAAGCAATGCATCCCGAAATGCAGCCAGTTTCATTGAAGCCGCCTCCCAGGGCAACCTCGACCCCACACTACATACCCGCTTTCGGGGGTCTCGGCACCCGCCTGTTCTTCGCTCTACAACACGGCCGATCTTCACGCCCCTTCGTCCGACAACTCTCCTCGCCCTATCCACGCTGTGCCGACTAATCGTCGCGCCCGCCCTGTTTGCCAACCCTTCCGCACGCAGGTGTCCGACGACAACAAGCGGGGTGTAGTCAGCCAGACCGCGATCGGGTCCCTCACGAAGACAGAGGCGACGAACCCGCGCAAGGCCGCCGCATGCTACGGAGAGCTCGACAAGAAAGTCGCGGGCGAGAACGGAGATGGCAGCGCCAGCACCGGAGACGCCGGTGCCGTGCATGGGCGGCACCTTGCCACCTCCGCGACTACCGGCGCGGTGGAAGAAGCCCCGGGGCACAGGAGGGACGGTAGCAGGGGCGTCGTCCTAGGACCGGGGGGCGTGGCCCCCGCGACGTCGTCGCTGCTCGAGCAAGCGTCGGTCGTCAACGCTCACGCGGTCAGCAACACCGTGACCAAGTCCCCGCCGCTGCCGGCCCCCGCGTCCTCCGTGGGGTCGCGGGACCGCGACCAGCAGATCGGGAGCAAGCGGCCCCGACCCCGGCTCTTCGTGAACACCAACGTCGACGCCGCCGGGATGTACATCGGTGGCCACGAACAGCAACAGCAACAGCACCAGCAGCACCAGCAGCACCAGCAGCTGCAGCACCAGCAGCAGCACCAGAACCAGCCTCACCACCTTAACCAGCAGCAGCAGCACCAGGGGTTCGAGGCGGACGCGAACGCAAGCGCGGCGGCCGCGGTGGCCGCCGCCGCCCGCTCTGCGGCACGAGCTCCCCACGCGGTGTCGATGTCCGCGGTCCCCTTTGGATGCCCACCGGGGCTGGGTTCGTCGGCCGCCGAGGCAGCGTCGAAAGCGGCGGAGGCGGCGGCGAGGTACGCAAGCGGGATGGCGCCCGTAGGCAACGCTCCTTTACCACCTATACACTACCATCACGCTCACTTCCACCCGCACCACCCCCAGCCCCAGCCCCAACAACAACCTCGGCAGCTGCAGCAGCACATGCAGCCGCACATGCAGCAGCAACAACACCCGCAGCACATTCAACAGCAGCAGCTCCTGCACCAGCAACAGCAACAGCACATGCATCATCAGCAGCAGCACATGCAGCAGCACATACAGCAGCACATGCAGCAGCAGCAGCAGCAGCAGCACATGGGAGCCGCAGGGAGAGGCGAAGGGGTGGAAGTGGTCCACGGCAGTGGCGGCAGCGGTGGCAGGGGTGGTGGCGGCGGCAACGGTGCCGGCGGCGGCGACCACCCGATCGCCATCCCCGGGACGTCAGTACGCCGATACATGCACGTCCAGCTGCTGTTGGCCTTGATGAGCGCGCCGGGCCTGAGAGTGGTGGCCCCCGCGAGGGTATCGTGGGACCGCCTCGGTTACTACCCGGTGGATGCCGTGTTCGGGCCACCGAAGCCAGGGGCGCGTCCGCCCGGCCCGCCGAGGCTGACGCCGACCTCTACCGCGATCCCGAAGATGCCGGGCTTGTCTCCCCACTCTCAGTTCGGGAGTGACCCCGCTGCCGCCGCACTGGTACCGTCGAAACGCGCGCGTTCGGGCACGGGACCGCCCGTCGCCGGAGGAGGAGGAGCTAGTAGCGGCGGCAGCGGCAGCGGCAGCGGCGGCAGCAGTGGCGGAGGCGGCAGCGGCGGCAGCGGCGGCGAGGGAAGCGTTCGTGAAACAATGCCCGCCATCGGGGGAAGAGGAGGAGGAGGGGGAGGGGGAGGAGGGGGAGGGACGACGCACACCGGTGCGATGGCGATGCCCCCACCGCAGCACAGCCCCAGGACGTCGGCCATACTGAGCGGGCTACCTGTCGGGGATGGCACGATGATGCTCGGGGACACCGGGGAGCTCCTCCCGTACGCCTCCATATCACCCACCTCCTTCATCGGAATAGGAGGGATGGGAGGGATGGGCCCCATGTCACCGTACCAGTTCCCGTCGACGGCCGGCGGCGGCGGCGGCAGCGGTAGCGGCGGAGGGGTAGGAGCAGGAATCTTAAGTGGC